AATTTCACTTCCTTGGTTTTCCTTGCGTGGAATTTCTTTCAAATTTGCTTTAAATCCGTAGCATTTTTTGCTACTGCTCCTGGATAGTTCTAATGATAATAATTCATGAGGAAAACACAAAGAGAAATCATAAGCGTGGCGTGTCTTTATATGTGATAAAACACGCTTCAAATTTCAACTTGCATTTTCTCATCTAATACAAAGTTATTTTGGAAAATTATTTCGCCAATGCCGTGATCTAACTGAGACGTTTTTGAAGCTGTTTAATAAACTCGTAGTTCGTGTTTTATCACATATAAAACACTCCGCTACGCGTCGTGTTTTATATGTGATAAAACACTCCTACTCGTTTATTAAACAGTACATAAATGACTATCCAGCCAAGCAAATGTTTTGTAAATAAACGAACCTTTCTATTGTAGTATCACCGAAGTTAAATTTTCTTTTTACGAACAGTCGAAACAAGCGCCAATCCGGATTGGTCTCTTGTATCAGGAGCGTTAACTCAACTTGATATCAGCCCTGATGATATTCTCTGGGGTGTGAACAGTGCAGATAATATTTACATACGAAATGGAAGCGGATGGTCTCAAGTTGGTGGTGCTTTGAAACATGTAACGGTTGGTAAAGCTGGGGTTTGGGGAGTGAACGCTGGTCGAAACATTTATTATCGTAATGGAGTGACATTGAGTAATCCAAAGGGTTCTTCATGGACACGTATACCAGGTGATTAATTAATCAGTTTTATATCCAGTCGGTGGCAGAAAAAATCAGGAGGTCTAGAGAATGAGAAATTGTTCATCCCTGGTGCAAAGTTATAGTATTATTTTCATCTTACACCAGAACGATGATGAGTTATTATCAAGCAGCAGTTGTGTAAAACGAATGTAAGCTTTATAAAATGCCTTCATGTTTTTTGGTTCTAGCTTTTTAAATTCATGCATGATATCATGACATAGAATGTTTAAAGTAAAGTTATGGGCGTGTTACTGTCGTTGCAATAGAAGTGTTGATAAAATATTGCAACAATTGCTCAAAAATTGCTCAACTTCCTGTTTACTGGCATCACAGAATATAAAGGTACACAGAAGGCCGACTTCTTCGTTTTCCTATTATATGATTTTCCTATGATTTTGGCGTAACCCGTAATTCGTCATCAAATGCTGACGCCATGGTCCTAGCCGGTGCGCGTTTGAGAGGCATTCACCCCCGTGATAATATTCAAAATGGCGGATGTACAGGGGGGGAATGCCTCTCAAACGCGCACTGGCTGGGACCATGGCGTCAGCATTTTGATGATTACTCGGTTACTCGAGTCGACCTTCTGTGTACCTTTTATTATTATTATTATTATTATTATTATTGATCTTTAAACACGGTAACCTTTCACATAGGTGATTTTCAAAGGGCCGTGCGGAAAATAAATGCATTATAAAAGAAGGAACTAATAAACTAAATTATACTTATTTACAAAATATACTTATTTACTTATTTACTTATTTACTTATTTACAAGATGTAATTATTTAATAGATGATGGACAGATTTTAAACTTGTTGATTCTCTTAGGGTTTTCAACAAGTTTACTGGGATGTTGTTCCAATACGCTGCTCCTCTGTACGAAAAGCTATTTTTCAAGAAATTCGTTTTTGGTTTAGGTTGAGACAGCTTTAAATTACTACTGCGCAGTACGTAACCATTGTTTTCGCAAGTGTGAAATAGTTGTGTTACGTATTCTGGAAGCATGCCATTAATCGCTTTAAATGTCATAAGGAGATCTCGCTTTTTCAAAACTAAGTCAAGAGGTTTCCAGCTAAGTTTTTGAAAAATGTCCGAAGATCTTATAGTATAGTCCGAATTTGTTATTATTCTTGCTGCTCGTTTCTGAAGCTTATATAATTTGTCTAAGTGTGTTTGGTTGTTATTTTGCCAAACAGTTGAACAGTAGTTAAAATGAGTCGCGACTAATGCGTTATACATAATTTTGAGCGTATCTAGGCCAACAAAATCTTTGGCTTTTCTTAAAAGATTAATATTTTTTGATATCTTGTTGCATTGTTCTTCATTTTGCCTATTCCAGCTAAGTCTATCGTCTATAACTATAACTATAACTGAAACCAGTAAACTAACTAATAACTGAAACCAGTGAAACGTAAAGCCATTGGTTGATTCAAACACACAGGAAGTTGGTCAATTTTTCAACGAATGAATTGATCAGCTCTAAGTAATGAATTGATGCGATATTTTATCAACACTTCCATTGCAACGACAGTAATAGTCATTTGACTTCAGCGATTGTTCGATTTCTGCAGTAGCGCTAGCGGTTATCTGATTTCATCTATGAGAAAAGTACGTGCGTCTATAGTTTGACTCTTCATTGTACTGTTGGCGTTCTTTGCGTACTTTGGCCTCCTCCTTCAGTAAACTGGGTATAGATCCAGATAGACCAACACTTATTGCCACCAACAGTTCACTCATTGTTTGTGTACATGTTTACTGCAGGCTCGCTGATCCAAATCGACTCAGGACCTTCCGGAATTGTGTATGGTGTAAACCGCCATCGTCAAATTTATTGCCGCAAAGGAATTTCTTTGAGCAGACCTACAGGAACAACTTGGGTGCGAGTAGGAGGAGCTCTGAAGTATGTAAGTTGTGGTGTTTATGGCTGCTGGGGAGTGAACAGTGCTGGTCAAATTTGGTTTCGTTACGGTGTGACTCCCAATAACTGCGCTGGAAAAAAATGGGTTAGAATATCAGGCGGCTTGATTGAGCTAGAGGTAACTATGCAATACCTACCTAATTTTTGTGATAACCAATTTGTACAGTAATAAAGTGAACGTGTGCAGTGATAAACAGAGTAAAGATATGCAGCGATAACATTTGTTGTGTTTTCCAAAGAATCGTGTGCGATAAAAGCAAATGAAATGCATGCACCGTTTTCAATAATTCAGGTTAAAACATTCTTGTCATGGTTGCTTTTCAGTGGCCAAGCATGCATGGTTGTATTTGCTGTCAATCCAAAAAGGCGTCTGCCGTGATAAGTGATGTGCTAGTATACCATCTTATCACAATGCATGTATATTTCTTTTGTGATTTCTCTTATATATTAGTTCTTAGTAACAGGTAAGTTCTCATTGTAGAAAATGTTAAGCAATGCTCTAGCCTGTACCTTGAGTTTTGAAAAACCGAGCGATCTTCAGGCTTTCTAAGCAAGTTAATGGTCTTACCATAAACTAATGCGATGGCATCTATTGTAGTCGTGTTTGAAACTATATATTCAAAACACTTGTATGATCTATGAAGTTTTTTAGCGGACAAGATATCTGAAATGTATCAATCGAGTTTATGCGCTATAAATTGATGTTATGTGCCATACATTGATGTTATGTACAAATACATCAATGTCATAAATCGATACAACTAAAAGATAAACCGATACAACTAAAAGATAAACCGATAAAACCAAAAGATAAACCGATACAACGAAAAGATGAGGAAACGGAAGTAAATACACATAAAAGATGAGGAAACGGAAGTAAATACAACTAAAAGATGAGGAAGTCGAAGTAAATTGGAAAAACGGAAGTAGAGCAATTCGGCAAAATCGCGCGTGCCAAGTGGTAGCCTGCGAACAGGCTCTCAAGCTGAATTGAGAGCCTGCATCGATGACTAATGAATTTGAATATCTGCCCCGTAACGTTCGTTTTTCCAAATATGGAATGTCTATCCTTATATGGTGTTGTTTACAACTTTCGTGCAAACTAAATTTAGACCGTGCAAACTAAATTTAGACCGTACAGTTTATACTGTTTTTCGAAATATAAGATATTCAAGCAAAAGTTCAAATATTTTAAATACTGTTTTCTCAAAACAGAACATTTCGTGCCTTGATATAAGACGGCCAAGACCAATTTGATCAGTTAATGTGTTTTTTTTTATGCATAGTCTAGCAGTTGACATATATAGAGCTAAGCGGAAACATATAAATTATAGCATCTGACCAATGAGAATTTCGCGTCACGATTTGAGACGCAGATATTCAAATTCATTAGTCATCGTTGCAGGCTCTCAATTCAGCTTGAGAGCCTGTTCGCAGGCTAGCCAAGTGGCGCATATGAATACATATTGAAAAACATGGCAGAAGAGAGACAGGGCAGAGTACCAAATGTTCAGGATTTTGTTCAGTCAATCCTCTTAAGAGCGGTGACCAATTTACAGCATTCTTCGCAAACACATGAAGAAAACACAGTTTTCTTCAATTTTCCACTCCTACGATGAATAACAAGTGCCATATAAATCGGTAGATAATCTTCAAAGGTTTCTCATACCAACACATCTTTCAAGGACGAATTATATAAACATGTTAATAACAACTTTAGTAAAGGAAAACTGTTATGAGCAAAATAACAAGTGTTTCTCGTGCCGATTATTTTCTGAAACACTCGGGCGCCATCTTGAAATTTGAGTTCGGGGGGGGGGGGGTGAATGCCTCTCTTTAGCGCACTGGCTAAGCTTTTGGCGGCCGGTTACACTTTTTTGGCTGAGTTCCACCTCTGTAGTATATCCCCTGTGACTCTGTGGCTCGCATCCTGTTACTGGACACATTTTTCAAAATAAAACTCAGCTGTTCATTGGCTATAGCAAGTTTCGTCGTCAGCGATTTCGGTTTCGTGTTTTCGTTGCTTACGACCACAGAGTAGAGACATATGTCTCGTATGTCTCTACTCTGTCACAGAATAGATACAGGACCAGAAGTATCACTCAGACGATATTTTGTCCAAAATTTTACGAGTGCTGACGTGAAAATACGCCATCATATGACGCCATCCAGGAATGCACACGGAAGTTTTTCATAGGAAAACACATAGAGATTATAAATAACACTAGAGGAGGCATCGAGTTTAAGAATTGGGAACGCAGCTAATGGGGGGCAAATTCAAGTCCCGGATATAAAATGTGCTCTCATTGGCTGACTTGAAACTCGTCACCAATGGGAACACGAATACACATCCGGGACTTGAATTTGCCCCCCAATAGTCGCGTTCCCTTTTTTTTACTGAATTAAGATTACAATGCCTCCTCTAGTGTTATTTATAATCTCTATGGGAAAACATAGGTACAAAGTGCCGGGTGCACTCCAGGATGGCGTCATAGCACACAAAAAAATTTCGGACGTTTGCCAAAACAAATAGGAGTGACACTTCTGGTCCGGTATCTATTCTGTGACTCTGTGTTACGACGAAACTTGCTATAGCCCCAGAGTAGAGATCATATGTCTCTACTCTGTGCTATAGCCAATGAACAGCTGAGTTTTATTTTGAAAAATGTGTCCGGTAACAGGATGCGAGCGGAAGCATAGTCACAGAGAAAAAATTCGACAAAACACCGTAAACTTTCGTACTTTGACAAAAAAAGTTACAGACAGGTTAGTAAAATTATCCTTGTTTATATTTATGTTGTTTTTAGGGCTACTTTCTTTCTGCTTTTTGAAATACTACAGATATATTTCTTGTGTGTAGTTCAAACAGTTCAAAACAAAGGACGGACCATTTGATTTTTCGTAAGGCAAATCCGAAAAAAAATATCGAGCATGTCTCGAATGGAAGAAAAAAAAATCGATCATCACTAACACCAGCAAAAAAAAATCGATCATCACTAACACCAGCAAAAAAAAATATCCAGCACAAAAAAATTCTAAATTAGCAATACTCTATATTGAAAGAAAAATTCAGTTTCCTTGAGTTTTTTTTCTGTTGATTGTTTCGGTTCCGCCTTGGTTAACAGTACCGGAAATATACATGCAAAATACTAACCGATACAAACCAGTTCTGACAACTTTGACTTAAATAATTCAATTATCCAATCTTAACACTGAAAGTCCCACACTTCTGTAAATATGACATCGATCAATGAGGGTGGGAAAGGGGGGGGGGTATGGTTCACGTTTCACAAAAAAAACTGTTTCACAATTCACGTGCCTTAAAAAAGCAATTTCACATTTCACAGATAACGAGACTCTATTAAATAAAAATAATATAATAATAGATTTTGTTGCATTATTTGGACCCTATACTGGGGCATTTGCAATGTTTTTTTTGCCAAAATGACAAAAGCCCGACAAACGCCCGGGGGGGTGTTGGGCACCCGTGGAATTGATTGAGACATTACCTCTGTTCTATTCTATGTGTGAACTACTGTAGAACACTAACTAGGCATGAATATTTAAAGTTGTGAATTGCATTGCAACACTGTAACTAACTTTGCCAAATCTATCTATTATACAAATTAATATGTTCTGTGTGTTTGAATTGTACAATACCTATTGTGAGATTACAGCTGTCCTGAGAGCTTTTAAAATATCATTTTCCAGCAAGGCAAGGAGCTCCATTAAAGCCTTGTCCCATTAAGCAGATTCTATTTACATCCAAATAAACAGCAACTTGCGAATATATTTATTGTTGCAATTTACGAAGTTCCAACTTTGTGAAAATTGTGAACTTTGGTCGTCTATTTCAGGCTTCCAGCCTTCCAAGTTTACTCATATAAGATGACTTTCGGTTTATAAAGTCTGGCTGATGGGAAAACTATTAAGTTTCATCGAAAAAATGAAGAAAATATGCACAAAATCGATGAAATTATTTCCAAATACGCTCCCAAGTAAGCGGCCATCTTGAATCCAGCGACTGAAAGTAATGACGTAATGTTTGACAAAAAAATGACGTAGGTCATTTTGTGACCAACAATCCGCGATGAAGCCGAAACCTATAGTCGCTGGAGGCACAGTGTGCCCCAGCGACTAATAAGAAGTTATGAATATTCTGATCTTTTAAACATAATTATAATACATGAGTAAGTATAATACCATTTCTAACTTTCTATTTAACAACACTACACCTGTCCTATTGCCCGTGATTAGGGGCGGACCATTTGATTTTTGAGGGGGGGGTGGAAGATTCAGTCTGTGCAAGAATTTTTTTTCCGCCCAGGCGAACGAGACAGATATTTTTTTCCTGTAAAAGTGCAGCGCAAGATATTTTTTTCCCAATATATTTGGCCGCAGGATATTTTTTTTGCCTCTCATAATAACGGCTTACAGTAACTTTAGGCTTTCATATAGCTATCATCGGAGACGTAGCAGGGGTTTTCAGTCAGAGGAGGCCGAGAACTGAATCCCAAGAGGGGCCAAGGAATTTTCACTGTGCTTTATTTTATATGGTTATGTCTTAATGTTCCCCACACTAAAGCGTGCAAGTTTACTTACAAAGAATGTATAACTGCACCAAAACCTAAAACATGCAGGGATAGAGTAGAGTACTCGAAAATGGGGAGGGTACAGTATATGAATGACCTGTAACCTTGGGGGGTTCGGGGGCATGCTCCCCCGAGAAAATTTTAAAATTTGAACCTCGGAAATGCTATTTCCTGCGTTTTCAGCCATGGATAATTATCTTAAGCCCAGATTTTCTCAGGGGGGGGGGGCAACAATTTTGCCAGGGAACACCACTGGCTATCGTATGTCAGAGGCTCCAAAGGCGGTAGAATCCCTGTGATGTTATCCACTGTTCACCCCGTGTTCTTTTAAGCAAATGTGCCTGCTCAAAAATGCAAAATCTTGCAAGCCTGTGGACACAATACTGAAGTGAAGAGCATCAGTAGAGTTACATGTAGAAAATTTTTTTTTGAGCGCTCTCTTTTGCATGATATTTTTTTTTCTCGATTGTGTGCTGCATGATTTTTTTTTCTTTCTCCTTGGGTTGCAGGAAATTTTTTTTCGAAATCTTCCACCCCCCCTCCCTCAAAAGTCAAATGGTCCGCCGCTTAGCCTTCCAGTTTGGGGCCATTCACAAAGGATGTCCGAGCCGAGGGGGGGGGTGGAGGGGGGGTTGGAAAATCAGGACAAACTCGGACATAGGGGGGGAAGCGGGGGGGGGTTAGCAATCCGGATGTCCGAAATTTAAAAAAATTCAAAAACAAATTTCTTTTTCCCTCTTTTTTGAGCAGTCCTTCCCATTGTGAAATTGGCATTTTGACTATGCAGTTAACACTAGATTTTGTTTTACTTAGTAATTTATATGTTTTTGTGTTCACATTTACAGTTATAAAAAAGTTCTAAAAGTAAAAAAGATATATACAAGGTTGTGTGAGTTTTTGCGAGGCATGGCGGATGTCCGGGGGGAGGGGGGGTCACTAATTCGGACAATGCCGGACAAGGGGGGAGGGGGGCTCTGAAAATCCATCATTTGGCCGGACATCCTTTGTGAATGGCCCCTTTATATTTACACGGCAAAAAACCCGCTCAGGTTGATGCAATACTGATGAAAACAGGATTGAACAATGTTTTGCTGCCCACATTGTTCATAGCTGTCAACAATATTGAACAATATTGTTACACTCGATTCAGGTTCAACAACATTGTTCAATATTGTTGACAAGTGTGAACGACGTGGGCAGCAAAAGTACATTGTTCATCCTGTTGAGCAACGGGCTCGGCGTTTTTGGTTATAGATTCATGTCTCGCTATTTATAATGCTAACCCCAATCCCCACCCTAACCCTAACCGCTAACCCTATTAGCGAGACATGAATCTATATCCGCGTTTTTTGCCGTGATTGCCGTGATATAGTTCAATGACAATGGCTATACCTATACTCTGTGGCTATACATAACTCGGCCAGGGGGCCTGGGACACGTGAACGCAATAGTTCATGTTAAGAATAGTGTGCTGCCTTCGGCAGCAAAAACTCATCAACAATTATGAGGAAAATACAAAAGAAACGAATGTTTAATCAATGTTTGTAAATTGGATAAAGATTTGTCCTGATTTACATAGACTTCAGCTTTGATTTTCTCGGCTTAGACAATGTTTATTTTTAAAATTACTTCGCCAATTAACTCATACATCGGTCGCCTTTTAAGCACGTTCGATATTTCGTTCGTTTCGCACGTTCGATCATTCGCATCCGATCTTTATCTGATATACAAACTCTCGCCTCAGTTCGGCTCAAGTATGTATATCAGATAAAGATCGGCTGCTCATGTTTTAACTAGCACTAAAAATTCACTGGCGAAGTAATTTTAAAAATAAACATTGTTCAAGCCGAGAAAACCAAAGCTAAAATTTAATATGTAAATTAACATGATTTTTTATCACATATAAAATGATATAGAATCATTGTTCCTCGTCAATGTCACATATAACAAAATCAATTGATGTGATGTAAACTATATCCAACACAACAATATTTCACGCATATTTCCGCAGGTTATTCAAAGATAGTCGCGTTGGAGTCTACTGGTGCTATTTACGATTATGGCGGTAAGTTCAAAATATATGTGTTTTGGATCTCTTGACTAAATTCGGCAAACTCTTAAATTAAGTTTATACATTTTGTGTAGTACTTATAGTTTTTACTGTTGCTTAAATACTGGTTGAATGATAATACTGACAATTATCCAAATGTAATTTTTAGAGTAATAAGTAACAGTTAATTGTCTTCTGAAAACAAAAGTAGCAAGACAACAACAACAACAACAACAACAACAACAACAACAACAACAACAACAACAACAACAACAACAACAACAACAACAACAACAACAACAACAACAACAACAACAACAACAACAACAGCGACCACAACAGCGACAACAACAGCGACAACAACAGCGACAGCAACAACAACGGCAACGACAATGACAACAACAGCAACAACGACGACAGCGACAACGACAACAACAGATTTATTTTCTTTATTTAAGGTGATTGGCCCATTATTCCTGGAAGTCTCAAGCAAATTGACCATGGGCTGAGCACAGCAGTATGGGGTGTGAACCGTCATGATGCCATATATCGTTTGAAAAATGACAAGTTGGGTTGGCAAAGAATCGCAGGGGCTCTGACACATGTGTCGGCAGGCGAAGCAGGAATTTGGGGAGTGAACGGATATGAACACATTTACTATAGAATTGGCGTGACCGAAAACAACCCATCTGGCACATCTTGGAAACTCATACCTGGCAAATTGAAACAAATCGATTCTGGTCCAAGTGGTATTGTATATGGAGTGAATATTCATGATCAAATCTACTGCCGTACAGGGATCGAGTATGGTAATCCCTTTGGTACTGGTTGGAAGCAAGTGACCAGCTATGGTAGGCTGAAATACGTCAGCTGTGGTGTTCTTGGTTGTTGGGGTGTTAACAGCACCGATGGCATATGGTATCGTTCTGGGATAACCAAGGAAAATTGCGTTGGTGCAAAATGGCATGACATACCTGGAAAACTTAAGCAGATCGAGGTCGGCGCAGCTGGTGATGTATATGGCATTAATTCTGCCGGAAACGTCTACCGTCGTAGTGGTATCTCTGAGTTACGCCCCATGGGTAGTGGCTGGCAAAGGATCCAGGAGAATGGTTCCCACATTACTACTGGCTTGAATGGACTGTACTTGTTGATTAATGGTCAAATACATTATTCTAGTGGTAGGTATTTAAGAATATGTTGATACTCATTAATAAATTCAGGATTGTTTCTCAGAATACTTTTCCTCCTCTAATTCAGGTTGTCCAGGACGTTCTCCGTAAACAACAATGGCATTTTATTTCCCGGAAATGATTACATGGACCATGACGAAGTATAACTGTAGATTACAACAAATTGTAAGTTATAAGACTGTATGATTGTACTTCTTATAACCAGATCGTAGGTTGAAAAAAAAATGTAGACATGTATTAAGTGTTCATTAATTTAAAACACTAACTTCAGGTTAAATTTAGAAACTGCAAATAAAAGTTCATTCTCATGCCCGGATGTGTGCGGTTAATTTTGTTACGTATTTGTTGGATAGTTTAATCAGGTTTAATGAATTCATTCAAGCCTTTAAAGTTGTCAGTAAATACGTACGAGATCTTTTCTGTAGTCGATGTTTTTAAAATATGTTTGTTTATAGCAGCTATTCTTGAAGTATACTTGAGGGATATACTGGATCAAACTTCTGAAAAATAATGCAACAAGAACTTCGACGTTTCGAACGAAGGCCCTTTCCTCTAGAAGTTAGTAACTTCCCCACCCCTTCCGTCTATCTGGCTGCTAACTACCATGCAGATGAAGGGCCTTCGCTCGAGACGTTGAAGTATTGTTTATAGTTTTCAAGTAATTTGATCCTGCCTTTTAAATTATGTTTTTTTCTCTCTCTCTGTCTTTCTCTCTCTCTCTCTCTATATATATAATCTGATTGTTTAAGAGGAGTGTATATAATTATTTTATTAATTGCTCTCATCAGGAGTGCAATTAATCATTTGAAAAAACAAAATGGATTTCAGGATTTGGCCCCTAGTGGCAGTTACGGATAAAACGCGGATACGCGGATGGCAGATGACGAATGCGGGATAAACGCGGATGAGAAAAGTAATACAACAATTAATAGTATTGTACAAGCTGTGAGTGACTTCTTCAATGTAAATTGATTTCCAAGGGGAGGCATGTAAAATTTCAAAGTTAACCCTAATGATATAAATTTAAAATTTCATAACTAAGTGTGTTACAAATGAAATCATATCAGGCTAGTTGCCCGCAGAAGCGAATTGAGACTTGCTAAGCTCTCTGCACGTTCCTAATTTCAACTGGTAAATTGTTCCATAATGTTCCATGCACTTCTGTAACCTACAGCTATTTCAATTAAGGTTGTCCACGAGCAAAGTGGAAAAGTCGAATACGAGCGCGAAAGGCTGCTGGGAACCGCTTTGAAAATTCATTAATTTGTTAACGATTCCCAGCAGCCTTTCACGCTCGTATTCGACTTTTCCGCTTTGCTCGTGGACAACCTTAATTGAAATAGCTGTATACTCTTTTTTAAATATTGTATTTTAGGAAGAGGAATATATAATAATAGATTCATGTCAGAATTTCGCAGGTTGTAGTCATGAGGTCTGACAACCGAAGCACTGGAAAATATTTATAATAAGTAAACACCGCAGAAGCGAAATCATGAATAATCTTATACACGAGTCTCACTGGCTTTGCCTTTCGATACTAGTCGTCATTCGTTAAGTGTTTTCCAGCCGAGCTCAGTAAATGCAGCTTTTGATTGACCGTGCTCGTTTGGATAACGTATACCGGGCCATATAACCCATAATTGTTCTTGCTGTTCTGTTTTGTAATTTATTAGATAATATACTCCCAATCGGATCCCACACCTTGAACTAAAGCGTTGTAAACAGAGATAAGAGTAGGCTATCTCTACATTTTTTACAAACGGTTTAATTAATTACTATAGAAATAGTGCCTAGAAATTGCACCAATGACACTATAAATGTTCTTTGTTAGTTTTTTAACAAACTGGTCAATATATATATATATATATATATATATATATATATATATATATATATATATATATATATATATATATATATATATATATATATATATATATATACAGGGTGTATCAAAAAAAACTGAACAGATTTAAAATTGCTCTCAATTTCGCAAAACAGCTATTTGTAGCTGGTTTTTTATATATATAGCTTCTTTGGGTACTTATAATGTAAAATAATGAAAAAAATTTCTCGAACTTAAATTTTGTGAACCAGGGGTGTGTGTCTTTTCCAACAAACTAAAAATGGCTCGCGCACAAAATTTAAAAGCTGCAATCATATTTTGAGTTAACAGATGAAAAATTTGTCGGGATTTTAATTACTGTACAAAATTTCAGACGATTTGGTTTAGTTTAAGCCCCTTAACTATTCACGCAAAGTTACAATTTTCCCGAAAAATCAGCTATTTGCATGCTTAATTAATTCATTTGCCTAATTTGCATATGTCAGCAATATGCAAATTAGGTAAAGGCATTAATTAAGCATGCGAAAGGCTGACTTTTTAGAACAAAATGAATAGTTAAAGGGCTTAAATTAAACCAAATTGTCTGAAATTTTGTACAGTAATTAAAAACCCGACAAATTTTCAATCTATTAACTCAAAATATGATTACAGCTTTTAAATTTTGTGCGCAAGCCATTTTTAGTTTGTTGGGAAAGACACCCCCCCCCCTGGTTCACAGAATTTGAGTTCGGTAATTTTTTTTCATTATTTTACATTATAAGTACCCAAAGACGCTATATATATAAAAAACCAGATACAAATAGGTGTTTTGCGAAATTGAGAACAATTTCAAATCTGTTCAGTTTTTTTTTATACACCCTGTATATATATATATATATATATATATATATATATATATATATATATATATATATATATATATATATATATATATATATATATATATATATATATATCAAATTCTAGTCTAGAATAATATTCTTATTTTTTAGATTATTTTTCTTATTTTAAGTAAATATTTCTTATCAAGAAATATTTCAAGAAAAAAAATCTAGTTTTAAGAACAAAAATCTTAAAGTAAGAAAATATAACTGGGCAAGAATATTCGAGAGAATTTTTTTCTTATTTTAAGAATAACATTTTTCCATCCTAGAATAATATTCTTATAATTAGAAAAGCAATCTTGAAATGAAGTTTAATATTATTTATTGCATATATCAAAACCTTTCTTTTGGCAACTTTTGCATGGCTAAAACGAGATATGATATTGAATTGAATAAATCTAGTT